TTCAACCGCTATTTATAGGTGAATTCATTGCATTAGCTACTTGTTATTCTTGTTCTCAAAAGTGTACTCTTATGAGAGTTTAACACCTCATTTTTGAGGATAAGAGAATCTTGACACCTCATGCTTAATATAAAGGAATCTTGACACATCATGCTTCTAGCTCTTTTGTCATGCTTCCACATCATGAATTTTGCCAACACATGCTTCTAGCCTTGACAACTCATAACTAGCTTGCTTTGTCATGCTTAGTAGACTTGCTTTGTCATCAAATAGCTAGCGAACACATACTTCTAACCCTTACAACTCATCACTTCAGGTTTGATTTCTCATGTTTTGCCTTGTAAGCTACTTGTAGACTACTTGTAAGCCACTTGCCTTGAATATATGATAATTTGATAGATGATACAGCTGCTGGCACCTTTTTAGAGTACTTAAATTCCTCATAATATTTGTATTTAAGGCTTAAAACATTGTAATTAACAAATAAGAAACTAGGGTGTTACAGGTAGCCTCATGCAAGTGACATTGGATATACACTTGAATCATGCACAAATCACAAGCAGATTACATTTGTAGGTCCGTCCATTAATAAGACAAACTCCATTCAGAACATCATCCAAACATGATAAACATATAAGAATGAAAAGGTGTTGTAACAGAAGTAAACTGGATCGAAATGATGAGGTACAAACAAATAAAGATGAAATTTAAGAGCATTATAGGGTAACATAAAGGACCGTGAAGGTGTTGCAAAAAATTTAACCTGGATTGAGATGATGATGATGTGCGAACATAATTAGGGGATAAATACAATGGGAGCATTTCTACTTTTTACCTTCGCCAGTGAGACAACTGGAACCTGGAAATGGAATTATGTACTAAATAGAGAACAGAAAATCTTGCCTGTTTGTAGCGTCGGACATATTTGCTCCTCTTTGGGGTTGAGAACAGAAGTTTGGGAGTTTTATCACCAGGAAAGAAAGGATCTTGTCCATAGATCCTGAAAATAGGGCAGCAACCACCACTTCCATCAAAGTCAGGAATCATCCGGATAATCACACAATCCAAAGTGAGTGCCCTGTCCAGTGGTGGCCATTCTGTAGCCACATTCCTCCTTGATACATACTGTAAGTACCTCAGCTGAGAAGGTAGAGGATTCAGTGGCGAAAAGAAGTGTAACAGTTCACGAGGAGCTTGCTTATACACCATGTCCAGGGTCTTGTCTTCCCGAGTGTAATGCTTTCGGTAAATCAAGAGTGCAGCCAGCATGAAAGCCAAAACTGGCCAACCACCCTGTTCACAGTGCATCAGAAGAATATTTTGCTGCCCAAGCGAGAGCCAGCTTTCACTTGATCTTAGGAAATGGTGGATAACCTCCATTGCAAGCAATGGGCAATCTTCATATTGCCGAGGATAGTCCATAATGGTCATGTCATAGTCGGCCAAAGCAGAGGCAATTTGGCTTGATTCTCCCTTGTGAAAATTAAATATCAGGATCGAAGCATCGGGGTAATAGTCCTTAAGCTGACCAACAGTGTTTCCCACATAGCTTTTATAATTTTCTTGTTCCCATGCATTGGCAGTAAAACAGCAATCGAAAACTAAACGCAAAATAGGCAAACCATCAATCATCAAACCGGGAAAACCCAAGCTCACAAAAAAAAACTCAACACACATCAAATACATAGAAGAGAATAGGTTCTAAAACAGAAGATGCTTGCATCCAGGTGACAATTTAACACATAATGTATCATTTTATGTTACATATTAAAAGAATAACAAATTAAAAACAAGCCTCCACAATTCCACACAATATTATATCATACTCTTGTTTTAGAACACGAATTATATTCTATTACAACGAAAAATCCAAAATCTAGGGCTAGAGGGCCTAGATGGGAAAGTGATAACTTAGTTAGGTTGAGTATGCATAAATCGAACACCCACCTCTAATGATCATCAGCAGCTTTGTCTAAATTAATTTAAAAACGGGAACAACCTATAGTTGAAAAATGGAGCCACAGATATCTGCGATATTTGGTTTATATAAATCAGTAGACATGAATTTTACATATACCAATGATGACAAGAAGGTTCCTCAACACATACCTACCGCAATTTCCCTCATCTTGGTGAGAAGAACGATACTTCCGAAAATTAATACTAAGCAGTTTGCTGCTGTGTCCTTCTACTTACAAGAACAAATCAGAACGACAAACTAGAACCAGATAACTCAGTATTGATACATCTACTTGTGGCATAACTGTACTACCCAAAAAAATCATGTTTTCCAAACAAAGAGAACTGAAACCATACAAAATTCAGATAGAACAAAATCATGAAGGAAGGAATGAAGGAAGAGAGAAAGAAAGAGATTACCATAGACTCTCTCGGAAATCTCGAGAAGTCCATCAGGCGGTTTCTTATAAAACAATTTCCGTAACAATGCCATTGGAAAGAATCAGTGATCCTGAAACAGAAACCCTAAAAGGGGTAAAAGCAGCAACCACCAAATAGCGTGTGTATCTATGTATATAGATATAGATACGTGTTGGTAATACCCTTGTGTTCGTGTGAGGTGAATCTATGGCGGTTGATTCTGAATGGGTTGTTGGAAGACAAGGAAAATGAGCTGAGTTGCAGTTATACGTCAGACCTCAACGTGTACAGCGCTGTTGTTTGACATCAGTATTCATATTCTTGACACATGTTAAAATTGCATTAATAAATGCATTGTCCTCGTGTTACCCTTTTTTTTATTTTTTTTTTATTTTTTTTTTCTTTTATAAATGGATCCATCATCATCCCTGTCAATCCAATGCCACCAGGATACAACACAAAATTTTCATCCTCATTTCATATTTACCGGTTACTCTTACGCAAACGAATGAAAATAAAAATGATAAGCTGGTTTAATCTGAAATGACAATTTAGGTGAAGTTTGGTTTGCAAAATGTGTTTGATGGAGGGAATATGTTAAATTTGAAGGAATTGGAATAGAATGTTATCAGGTCTGACTATCTGTTTGGTTGACAGACATCGGAATGAAATCTGTTTGTTTGGTTCACAGAATGTAGCTTTAGAATTTGAATGAAATATTTGTAAATGACCAAAATACATTTTTTTTTAAATTTAAATTTTTTAAAAACTAAAATATTTTAATAAAATAATTATTTAATATGTAAAACAATATAAAAAATGCACAACCCAAATATAACCATAAAGCCAAATGACGTTATTAGTCGGTGGTGGTCCGGAGTGGTTCAGATGCTGGTGGTCGGCAGTGGTTCAGATCGATGGTGGTTCGTGGCTGTTCAGATAGAGGTGGTTCAAATAGATGGTGGTTCAGATTGGCGGTGGCGCTGGTGGTTCATATCAGTGATTGTTCAAATCGGCGGTGTCCGGCGGTGATTCAGATCGGTGGTAGTCGTCGGTGGTCAGTAGTGGCTCAAATCGGTGGTGGGTCGTGGTGCTTCAAATGGTGGTGTTCGGATGTGGTATAGATCGGCGGTGATTCAGATTGATGGTAGTCGGCAGTGGTTCAGATCAATGGTGGTCCGTGGTGGTTCAAATGGCGGTAATTGGCGGTGGTTCAGATGGCGGTAATTGACGGTGATTCAGATCGACGGTGGATCAGATCACTGGTGATTCAGATCGGTGGTCGGCGGTGGTTCAGATCAGGGTGGTCGATGGTGGTTCAGATGGTGATGGTCGGCGGTGGTTCAAATGGCGATGGTCGAAGGTGGTCGACGATTGTCATATTGGGTTTTATGAGATTTGGGTATATTGGGTTAAGGGCATATATAGTATTACAAAAAATAGAGAATTCCATTGCATTAAAATATCGTGTAGTTGTTAAGAAATGTTAAATTCTTTTATTTGTGGAATTTGTAAGATTTTGAAGATTCCATCAAACGAGGGAATGAAATTTTAGTTAATGACATTCATCATTTCAATTCTTTCAGATTCCTTTAGAACCTGCCAACCAAACGCCCCTTTAAACTTCTGTAGAAATAAATCAATTATATTATATAAAATAGTTATTTTTATTTTCAGTTCCGTTTATTATTGTTTAATATCACAAACCAAACATCCCTTACATTATGTTCTCAATCTGGGGAGAAATGAAAGAAAATGGATGAAAAATAAAGGAATGGAGAATAATTTTTTATTTCTGTTCTTGAAAAGGAATGAAAAAGAAAAAAAATCATGTTCTTGAACAGGAGGAAGATATTATTTTTACAAATATACCTTTTGAAAATATATAATTTATAATGAAATTGTGGGTAATTTTGTAATTTTAATAATTTTTTAAGGGTTTTAAGGGTGTTTGGGATTGCTTATTTGAAACAACTTATGTTTTTCTACAAAAGTGTTTATCAACTTATGATAAGTTAGAATAGTTTAACTTCTTCAAAAACTTCTTATTATCAATTTGGCACCGGTATAAGTTATTTATCCAAACACTTAAAAGTGTTTATTACCGGTGTCACACCGGAATAAGTCAATACGTTGTTTTTACAAGCAATTCCAAACACCCTCTTAGTTTCCTTTCCCTTTCTCTCACATTTAGAAGGAAAATTTTATAAGGAAACTTATCATTATTTTAGGGTGTGTTTGGGATTGCTTATTTGAAACAACTTATTCTTTTCTACAAAATCACTTATCAACTTATTATAAGTCGGAAGGGTTTAACTTCTTCAAAAACTCTTCATTACCGGTTTGACACCGGTATAAGTTGTTTATCTAAACCCTCAAAAGTGATTATTACCGGTACCATACCGGAATAAGTCAATAGTTATTTTTATAAGCAATCCCAACACCCCCTTAATTCCTTTTTTTTCCTTTCTCCTAAAAAAGTTTCGAGAACACGATTTATTTTTGCTTTCCTCCCTTTTCCCTCATTTTTTTTTCTTTTTCTTTCCTTCGTACAAAAGGTTTCAAATACACAACGTTAAGGAACAAACAAAAATATTAAAATTGAGGTTGTTACACAAATCCACCACCGCCGCTCCAGTCGATCACCAATAGAGATGGCCAAACGTAACCGGCCCGGCCCATAACTGACGGAGGCCCGGAACCGAGCCCGGCTCAAGACCGTAACCGACCGGGACCGGTGGTAACCGGTTATGGACCAGCGGTTACAAACCGGTTATTGTTTTTTAGAAAATCTTGGACCGGAACCGGCTACGAAACCGGTTATGGGCCTGGCCCGGCCCAGCCCGACCCGGCCCGGTCAACGCAAAAAGTCAAAACGTATTTATAAAGTGTATTCTTAAATGTATATAACAAAACATATTTATAAAATTAAACGTATATAACAAAACGTATTTA